TTGGAGTCGTGCTCTTTCCTGTTATGTCTGTTAAGGAGCCGAGTTCATTCTATGAACTTAGGGCAAGTCTTGTGGATTACTTGATGGATGGTGACCTCCTGAGTGTGTCAACAGTCCCAAGGAGCGCAATCTTCTGAATCTCTGTTATTCCGATGTTTCCCTATCCGACTATCTCGGAACCTGGAACAGGCTAATGTTTCCAGGGATCTTGCTGAGGTAGTTTTCAGTCTAATTCTTGAGAAGCCTGAGAGCACCTATGCGGCACTGAGACAGTCATTGTTTTTAGTTTCCATGTTATCTCAATTCCTATTTCGAGATCCTTGTACTTCGAGAGTTTTTCTACTGTTTTTAAGCAGGTGTTTTTTTTTTCAGTGGGAATGGACATATCAGTAAGTTATTATTATTATCACCATGATCATCATAATCAGCATCATCATCATCATTTCATCATCATCATCATCATCATCATTATTATTATTATTATTATAATCCGTTATTTCTTAGCACTGGAGCTCTTGTTCTCTCTTTCAAGTCAATGAACTCAGACAGAAAGCATCTTTCGCAGGATATTAGCTGTACCAAGCCGTGCTGATTTCTGCAACATCGAGACATGCACTTTAATCCCGAGATCATCGAGGTGGCGATGCAAATTCTTAGGAATGGAGCCAAGGGCACACCAATCATCACAGGAACTACTTCTGCCACACTCTAGCAATTTTTACTCTCACTTCCTAGTTATTGATCTTCTCAAAATCCTTATTTTTATTAATATTAATGTTATTATTATTATTATTATTATTATTATTATTATTATTATCATCATCATCATTGTTCTACAAGATGATGAAAAAGGATACTTTAGGACTTTTTGGGCAGGGGTGTGCCGTTGGGACCCTGGAACCCTTAGCCTTTACCAGAGCTCGTTCAGCTGAGTTTTGCTACCCTATAATAGACTAAACTCCCCAAATCTTCCTTAATTAACCTAGAGCAGCTGTTTTCCACAAACTAGCAACAAAACCAACGACTACGGCGACGGCAAGGAGAACGGCATATATTAACAAACAACAACTTTGCACGTGTATCACGCTATTTAGTACATTTCTTTGCCGTCGTTGCACCATTTCATGAGCCAGCTTTATGGATTTGGCCGGAACACAACACAAAGTTGTCGCTTTCTTTTTCTAAACTTAGTTAACGATATGTACGGTCCCAAAGAAAAGTTCCCCAAGATTTGCCAAATTAAATGAAATTGAATAAGATCGGTGAAGTTTGAAATAGTACGAATAGACTTTTAAGTGACTTTAACAGTTTGTTGTCATCCAAAAATGTTGCTGCCATGGCAACGTGACGTAACGACTTCTCCTTTCTATTGTTAACACAGGAGCCCATAACCCAGGACGAGCAACTTCCACGCCTCAGGTCAGGCTATCCAATTAATTACGCATATTTTGATTTAATGCTATTTAGAACTGTTTGCTTTTATCAGTGATCCTGAAAATTGAATTACAAATGTAACTTAATGGCCTTAGCAATATGACACGTCAAGTGTCGAAATGTTTACTCTAAAATAGCGAAAGGAAAATGAAAGAGCAACAAGTTCTTTTAGGTACATTTCAGAGGCTATTTCAGAGGTTCTGAAAAATTTGCCTTGTATGTGTGTTTACGTAAAAGGTTTGGGTAAATAAAGGGAGAAGGCTCACGTGACTTATTAATCAGTTAAATAACTAACAGGATAAATAACATTTCCAATCATACAAGGCGAATTTACGATTTACACTGTTTATTCAACATTTTGCAACCAAAAATTCTTAAGATTATAACGTTTGCAACCCTTCCCCGTTTAGGATGAAAGCCGCTAACAATATGCCGCAGCCAATGATTTTGACGACATTATCACACGTGACTTTTGTACGATAAAACAACGGCCGCAGTGTTGCGCAAAAGCAGTCGAGAGCCATGAACGTGCTAATAAAAGAAGCAGACAAACGCAGACACGCAGACATTCAGTTACAAACATGACAAAGTGTGTGCATTTCTAAATCTGTGAAACCATCCGAGTCTATTTGAAACAAAATAATCGACATTAAAAAAGGTCCCAAGTCATTTAGGAGATCTAAATTGACCGCCGCCTGGTTAGCTCAGTTGGGAGAGCGCCGGTCTGCCGAGCGGGAGGTCGCGGGTTCAAACCCCGGCCGGGCCGACACTCAGGGTCTTTGTAATGACATCTGCAAATGGTTAGACTTTCTAGTCTTCTCGGATAAGGACGAAAAACCGTAGGTCCTGTCTCGCAGCACTTTCACTGATTTGTTCTTGTGGGACGTAAAAGAACCAACATCACTATTCGAAAAGAGTAGGGGTCGTAGACCCCGGTGGTGTGGCCAACCTTTACGGGTTGTGGGATTGGGCAGGGATTGGCACCTTGGAAGGGACCTTTGAGTCCCGTTCGTGCACATTCCCTCTGGCCAGGCCTGTGTCCAGAAAAGCTGGTAAATAAATAACTATGACTGCCAATGAGCTAACTAACAGGTCGGGGACACGACGAATCCGAGCCAGAAGGAGTTGACGGTTCCCTAGCAAAATAACTGTGAAAAATAACGGCAATATTCATGATAAGAATCCAGCGCCGTATTGATTGACGTTATCTCTTGTATCCTTTGTCCATCGTTGTTTATTCACACTTCAAGCGCTAAATTCAGTTTTAATGAAAATGCGGATGCGAGGCGGAACCCAGAACTCCTTTATAAATAATGGCCCATACACTTCAGATAAGGATCTCTTTTGATAAAGTGCCTTTTTGGTGTGAGAAATTAAATCTTTCTGAAACAAAAAAAAGAGAGAGAGAGAAAGAAGTTTGTTGAAATGAAAAGAAAGTTACAGGAGCGTTAGTAAAATCAACAGTTTTTATTGCCTGTAGCGAAAACGACATTGTTGTATGTACCGCTAAATTTTGCAGATTTATTGATTTCATCATTCTGGAGTGTCCCATACAAGAGTTGGTGTCAAAAGGAGAAGAGCGAGAATATCATCAGATTACAGGAAGTAAATCATGAATAATTTTTATCTACTGCATAATTTTCAGTGTATAATCTGATTTGTACTTGTTCCTCGATTGAAAACAGGGACATTTAAATAACCCTGCAACTTAATTATTCACAGTAAACCTGAAAATAAGGAAGCGCCCGAGATCATCTTTATAAATGTACATCTTTACACGGAAAAGGGTTAGAGAAATGTTTAAATTTGTATGTTTTAAAATTCACAAAAAGGGTGGGCAGCACGCTGAGCAAAAATCGAGCTGGAACGAAATAACAAGACGAGTTATAACATACCTAATATGCGAAAGTGTGGACTTCGAACATTGAAACATTCATATAATGCGTTTTCGTCCTTGGATTTCGTTCAGCGATCTCGGACGTCGAATCCACGTACATTAAGTGATTTTAGTGTAAACAAATAGCTTTCATCTTCCGTTTGTTGGCATAAGTATATCTCTTTGACAGCTGCGTTTACAGAGATAGAACTCAACTAAATCATAAAGCTAATGCGTCTTACTAAAAAATAATGTAAGACTTCAGTCTTTTAATCAGTTTTTAAATACATTTGTTGAAACAGCATTTAACTAGGATGACGGTTAATTTCCTTCAAGAAAGATTAAACCAATCTAATTAAGAAGGGAAAGTAAATAGAAGTTGCTGTGTTTACGCAAGAAAAGGAGTCAGATAAGAGGCTGTTTTAAGCTGCTAGCTATAGAGGACTACGGGGATTGATTTTCATTCCCAGGTTCTAACATAAACTTTATAGGATCTTGCGCTTTAGAGATTAAAGTTGACTTTGTATGAAACCATTTTGAAGGTCACTGTCCTTTTTTATCGTAAAAATACAACTCTCATTGTGAATCAACTTAATCTGATTTAGAATCAGATTTTAAATCTTAATTCAATTCGAGGGGAGACAGGGAAAGGAATTTCGATGCTGTGTTTAGTCCTTTTTGGCTTTGAATTTAATGTTAATATTAGTAACACCCGATTACTTTTGTTTTTTTTCTCTTTCCCTTCTAGCAAACAACCGGCTTGCGCAAATATACCTACTGACCAACACGTCCCAAAGCAGGTCATTTTGTAGCAAATAAAGGACCCTCTTGTCATAAGCTGCATTTGTTTGTACGAGTTCATCAAGCAGTCTGAGCAAAACACAACGGTTAACGAACCAGTTTTATTCAGCCATTGTTAAAGCTGTTACCTTACTTTACACGTACAAAAAATAATGTTTTAAACATTTATTTTATAAAATAGAAGCTTTAGTTTAGTGTCTAGAAACGACAAATAAATTGACTAAGAAACTCTGACATAAAACAAATAAAAAAAGGATGTAAAAACTAAAAGTAAAAACTAAAATTAGTTAAAATACAAATTTTAACATACGAAAAAATCAACATCGTCCAATAGTCTCTCTATCTCTTACAATTTACAACAAAAAAAATATACAAACGAAGTAGTGAAATCAGTTCAAGACGGAACAAAACAAGACAATAATTTAAACTGAACTGACAGAAATTCCGTTCTACAAATCTCTTGTACACCGGGAATCGACAAATATAGTCTTAGTCTTTTAACATTTTGAAATGTTAAAAATCTTCAATTATAAGATGCTTACAAAATAAATACAGCCGAATCTATAGTTGTTACCTTTGTAATACGGACAGTGCAGTGGTTTCCTGACATAACAGACCAAAACTTGAAAACTCAGCTCTCTGTTCATTACATTAAGTAGTCATAAAAACGCTTCGCTGGCATAGTGCGTCGTAATGGAAAAATTTGGTTAACCTCAGAATGACTAGTGGGACTTTAAATGATAATTTAATTGGAAAAGGTAGCTAGTACCTTGATATGACTCTTCAGAAAAGGTACCTTGTACATTTGAATTAATTTCTACATACATAAATATTGATTTATGGAACAAACAATCAATTAAATGCTAAGAAAATTATAAATCTTCCTTTACCCATACATTCTATTTCACTGTAATATACGCTTTCCTGTACTATCTGAAACTATATTCTCATATATCATTTCTTTCTTTTTTAAAATTTTTTATATTTGAAGCATCAAAACCGACTCAACACCCACAAGATAAAAAAGTTCGTATACAAACGTTCGTTCGTTATAAACGTTCTGGTGAGAAAAATTTTCTGCACAAAATAACGTGCAGTTTTCTTAAGTCTTAAGACACTTGTGATGTGTCTCACCATTTTTTGTTAACCGATTCTCGGAACCTATTCTTAACATTTATGAGAACAAAAGATAAGAGCACCTTTGAAAATGAATACACGTTAGTGATTGTAAAAGTTGGAACCTACAAGTAAATCCACAATAAAGTATACTTCTAATGAACTCAATGATTAATCTCAGTACGGTATAATAAATAGAGGATATTACACGGTGGCGAGAAGATATGAATTTTATGTTCGAGTGGCAAGAACAATATCTCACGAGTGAGATATTGTTCTTGCCACGAGAACATAAAATTCATATCTTCGAGCTAACGTGTAATGTTCTTTTTATTATATGGAGAAACCAATTCAACAAAAGCAAAAGGCGGGAATCGTGACGTCATTGAACGATACGACACTCACAAAGGTGACATACGGAAAATACGCCACTCGGGTACCGGATGAAGTGGCGTATGGAATCTACGAGTGGTTTAGTTCCCAGTAAAACACTCTTCTCCATATAATAATTCACGATCCTGGGCCAGGTTGCATAAAGCCTTCTTAAGATAAGGAGGCCCTTAACTTATGTTCTGGAATAATAACCTATTGTTTTGAAAGAATAGTTACGAGTTCCCTTAATCTTAAGCTGTTTTTTGCAACCCGACCCTGATTATTGTGGTAATGCCTGCCATTTACCAAAAGATTCCTGCAATTCCAGTTACAACGTAGGTGGAACACGCCCTCTTTTGGCATTTCCTACAACGGGGAGGTTGATGGGGTGTTACATCTATCGGGGTACAATCAGTTTCGCCTGTTTTTCACCAGTTCCACGCCCCTTAGGTTTTCACGGCGTAACCACTTTTCTCCATTAAATTGGGTAGTAAATTGAACACTTGTCTTCCACGTAAAACTTGCCAACTGTAGTTTTCGGAAATTTTGGTAATTGGCAAACAGCGTGTCACATTATGGTGTTGAGGATAAAGTCCTTGAGTGTTAACATTGTACATTCAGGGTAAGTTTGGAGGAGAAACTCAGAGGTATTCCTCGGCATCTTCAAACAGCGGCTCCTCATCACTAGATTCTCCAGAGTCTGCAAGGGAAACGTCAGTGGAATGTAAAAGCTTTGAAATACTTCACTTATTTCTTTTATTGATTTATTTTATTATTTTGCCACACACAACGAATTACAAGCAGAATAAAAACGATAATGAATAGGTTAATTAACATTAAATTTAAAATTTGTACATTACTTGGGAGGAGTGACTGTGGCGGGGAAATCTCCGAGAAGCCGAGCTTATGAGGAATAGAGATTTCCCCCCACGGGCAATTTAAATCCTAGGCGGCATTTTAAGAAATAAAGAAAAAAGTCGTTTATTTAAGTATATAAGAGTGTTTAGAGGAAACTATAGATATGAGGTGTTAAGGTATTTAGGTTGCATTCTGTCTGACTTCGATAGTATCTCTGTAGGCTATCAATTTTTCATTACGTTTAAGGCACAAACGTAATATAGATGATTTTTGTAGAAAGAGGAGATGAGAAATAGACAAGGATAACATTCTAAGTTTTTACACAGACAAGTTATTACCTGCAATAAGGTCTTAAAAGGCACGGGTGGGAAGCTTTTCGGTAGCATGGCAAAATACGGGATCTATCCACTATCTACCGTTAGGAGCCTAGTGAGCGCGCAACGATGGAGATTGGACATCCAGGGCCAGCCTCGGAGGGGCGTATGCACACCTAGAAACGTTTTGAACGTATACTTTCTCCTTAAATAGGCAACAACTGTCAAGGTTACCTACTTGCTAGGGGTGACCTTTGAGGTCACTTTTACAAGTGCAAGTATATTTACGGAGTAGCCTTTGTTATTCCAACAAAACCACAGGACAGGATATATGGATAAATTTCGGCTACCCGCCATTTTTACTAAGCTAAGATCAAAACATGAAAAGGGAGTCTATTCCCCTATGCATGGACTTTCCTGGAATTAATAATAATAATAATAATAATAATAATAATAATATGAAAAATATATCAATTATGCATGAAAAAGGACTACAAAAGATTACTTAAAAACTGTCGCAACTATCGACAAGTAACACAACTATCGCGCTTATTATCTATAGTGAATAACCTGAAGACTTACAACGGCAATACGTCACTAGTACGTTGCATCGTTACATTTCTACCACCCACTATTGTTCAATTTGTTTACCTGAGTGCTGGCTGGAACCCCGCAATGACTGAGTTGGATCATTAACTTCCGCTCCACCTGAAGAAAACTGGGAAAATGGGATAAGAAGGCGTAAGATGAGAACAGCACATGACTGCTAAATTAGATCATGAGCCAACCTATTCTTTTCACGCAACACACAAGTACCGTCTTATGATATATGCACACTCAAACCCAGTAATGTGCCGATCATCGATTATAATCGATCGTTGATCGAAAACCTTAAGTGAAGCGATAATCAATTATACAAACTCTTCAATCGATTACCGCGGAAACGTAGAAAAATATATTGACAACAAACAAAAGTAAAAAAAACTTGAGCTGTCTTTTTGAAGGACTCATAATATAGCTGTAATCTTGACTGGCTGAAAATTTCCTTCAACCAATCAGAGGCACTATCCAGATCTGGGTAGTGACGCGTCATCTGTATGGAATTTCTGCACTGGTTTCTCTAGAGGGAAACTAGTGATGGAATCGCGAAATGTGGGCTGTTTTCTCAGGCTATTGAGGTGCTGATTCAATTTAGCTGTTGTTTAAAAATACCGTACTTAACGACAACTAATATTAGATTTATCGAATCCCTAAGAAATATTCAGTGTCCATGCATACTTGTACCTCACTAGCGCTGCTAGAGGATTCAGCATCTGTAAGCTCATAGTTCTGCCCATTTGAATCACCTCCACACGCTTCAGCTGCAGGAGCAATGCTATCTCCCTCTATCTCCCCCTGCCTTAGAACCAATGCCTTCAGTTTCTCTTTCTCCTAAAATACAAGTGTAAATCAACGTCCCCAGGAACGCAAATGAGGGAAGGTTTTTTTTCTCTCTGCTACCATTTATTTGAACGTGGCGGTTTCTAACTAGAAAGCTTTTGCTACTTTGGACAACGCACACATATGTACATTACCTCTTACTAGCCTAATGATTATACTCAATGTCATTTTTTCTTCTTTTATTTGTATAAATATAACTTGTGTAAATGTCCCAAAGGGCGTAAAAGAAAAAAGAAAATTAAAAAATTAAGAATTGAATTGCACGCTTATTCGCTACAACTGAGGCAGGCTTACTTGTTTGACCACGACATACCCAAATCGCCCGAATGTCTACTAATTTTTGACAGTCACCTATAATGTAACTTAGTTGCCTGCCTCTACCCCACCCTCCGAGGCAGTACTTCGCCCTGAGGTTCAAACCTCTGCTAACTCATATACTACTCTTATCCCACCCTTCTACAGAAAATGGCGGTGATTTTGTTACCTCTGCTTCCCAGGTCCCTGACGCATAAAACGCCCCAAAGACGTAAATTAATTCATGACATGCTTCCTGAAGGACGTAAAGATCGATCGATCGATTTGAAGTTTTGTTTTTAGAATATCTTGTTCGTGTGATATTTGCGGTCTATGTTGTGGCTGTTGTTTCTCATTATGATGCACATTTTTCTTAGTCTATCTTGTGTTTTAAAAAAGGACGACTGTAGTTTAATTTCAGTATACAGTGATACTGAGATTTGGCGTTAAAAACTGTGTTGAAAAGGTAACTGTCCGGGTACACAAAGACCCAAGCATTTTCAATTTACAACCCATTGGTTTTGGACTGGGACTCATGATTTTCCCTTTGATGAGTCACAGGACTCACTATAGTTACTTGTATCAAAATCATTGAAATGGCACAGTTTATTTGCCTACGGTAAGAACAATACAGTGTAATGAAAGAGTAAAGACTGAAAAGGGTCAAAGAAGCCTTTTGCTAACTAATGAGCTGCATCTACTCAATTTACCTTAAAGTGACGTCAAAACATATTTTAATTGTTCTATTCGAGACACTTCCCCTTTGAATAAACAAATAGTCGTTTTCTCCATCCTCTGTAGGAGGTGGCATGGCCGAGAGGTTAGAGCGCTGGACTGGTAATCCAAAGCCCGCGAGTTCAAAGTCCCGCTCTGACCACCACCTGGATTTGTTCTCGGTAGTTCTGAGTTAAGATCTTTTGCCACGCTTATAAAATAGTCAACTGGTTTGGAATTCTTAATATGTTTATGTTTCATTTAAATTATTTGTTTCATTATCCCTGAAAAGCTCCACAAGTGGAGATGATAATTTTAATATTATTATTATCATCATCTTTATTTTTTTTGTTATTGTTATTGTTATTGTTCTTATTTCTATAGTTCGAGTCGAAGCGTCTCTTAAACGTCCTAATCCGTCCGCGATTAACTCACGAAAATTATATTTACTGCTGACGGTACATTTTGGGCTTTACCTTGGAAATTTCCTTCTTTCTTTTTTCAACGCGTCTTCTTTTCTCTTTTTCTTTTGACAACTTCAATTTCAACACCTTGACTTTGTCTGTTTCGGTGTTATTAAATGCAAGAAGGAGTTCATCAATAAACTTGTCGTGTTCCATTCTTAAACGCCGACGCTCTTCTTGCACGGATGTCTCGGGCCTCTCTTGTGCTTCCTCCATCTGCCGCCTTAGGGACGCTAACGACTGGAAGATTTGCCTATATTAGCTTCCTTGATTTAACATTTCAATAAGAATCAAATACTAGCAACATTTCCTTTAGCGATGTCAGAAGCATATAACCCTTATGCTTTTGGCGATGTACAATGCGTTTCCTTCTTCCTCCTGAGTGTTTGAATGACGGGGTGTTTCCTGGGTACAATTTTAGACGTGGAAAAATGGGTAAAGAAATGAAACCGAACAAGGCGATATACTATAATGGAGTAAACATGGTTATATGACGTTGTGGAAAGATCATACACATAGGATTGTTTTGCTAGTCGAAAACGTCAAAGTTAGGTCTTAAACATGCCCCACATTACAAAGTTAACGGTTGCATAATTCCACAAGGTAAAAAAAAGGGAGAGCGCAACAGCAAGGTTCATGGCATGAAGAAGTCATAGGAAGCACATTCCCTTTGTCTAGGATGGATCAAGAAGAATGTGAATGCATTCCAGTATAACATTAAGTAATATTAATTACATGGACTCTCTTTATTCGATTACCTCAACAACTTCCTGATTTTCTCTCCTTAGAGCTTGCATACTAGAAATAGCACAGCTATATGTTGCATCTGATTGGCTAATGTGCTGTAGGTAGATTAATTTTCAATTAAAAAATGTGCGATTAAACCATGATTAAAAGAAACAATAACTAGACTAGGCCAATATACTGAAACAACTTCACCTACAAATAATATAAGTGACGCACACTGGGCTGCGTTTTTCAATTCCACAATTTGTTGCATGCATGATTCCATGGCTAGTAATACTATGCAAACATACTCTGCTCTTCAATAGATACGTGAGAAAAAAAAAAGGAGCATTCCAATCACTTGCAAGGACGAAGTACAATAAAAATTCTAAATACTGTAAAATCGTGTAAGAACTTAGCATTAATCGGCCTTTGAACAACTGGACCCTGGCGTCTAATAGACTGAGTGGCAGACGTTGTGCATGGGCACATATTTTCCTGATGCAAATCGTTTATTTGAATGCTCAGAAATAGTGCTGATGCTCAGTTTTTTTAGCTTGATCTAACAGTGGCTTTACATAATCACTGCAATTGCTAACTTATCTCTACTCTCGTAGGGATTGCAGCAATCATATGGAAATCAGCATCAATACTTCATTATATTATAAAGTTCGGTATAAATACCTCTTGAAGCATGTTACATTTCTCTTGTTCTTTATTAACCACCTGCAACATCGAGCAAACTAATGTAACTGTGCATTTGTTCAGGACAATTAATACATGTACAGTTTAATAAACTATAAAAATAATGTAAATTAGACGATCTGAAAACTACTGGATGGTTAAGGGATCGATAGCCTGCACATGTGTAAACTTAAAGAAAGGTCTCAATGAGCATTTTGGCTCAGAATGGAAGCAGCCAGTAAAGCACTTATGTAAGTTGCCCATTGCCATTTTAGTGCAGCTGACCTTCAAAGGGATAATTATAGCAGAGCTCTCGCAAGCTCGGAGCACCATGGTTAAAAATATACGGTTATCTATGCATCCAAGAAATTTTGGTTCAGCCAAAATCGTCCGCATTACCGTTACGTCCACACTTCTTTTGCTTAACTTGATTAATTGGACATTCATGTTATGATCAATTGACAGCTGTCAAAATATGGTATACGCTGATCAGTGTCACATCACTGTATTGCGGGCTCAGGTGTATAGGTTGTGGTTTAATTACATCCTTGGTTTAAAATTTATTTGTTTTGTTTTGGGGTATGGTAATGTGTGATAATAAAATTTAAACCAAGGTTAAAAATGAAACCACAACATATACATCTCAGTGAGGTGACGTGTTTTTAAAAGTTGGCGAGTTCGGCGAGTTATGGTATTCAAAGGATCGCAGGCTCAGGAAACTTTACCTCAGAAAGACATTTCTTAAAAGTTCTTACGGAGAGTTTTGCTTTTGTCCTTGGCTAAATTTATATATTAAGCTTAACGACTATGTTTAGTTGTACTTGCAGGTAATCCTGTACCTCTTGCAACATGTTGATTGACTGCTTATTATCAGCCACCAACGCTGTACTGTCCTTTATAAGACGAGTAGACTAAAAAAGAGTACGAAAATCAGTATGGCTATTTATTATTTACACAGTATATCGGTTAGATGGGCAAAGTCTCTAAGATTTAGGTACCTTGAAGAGTGCCATGGTTGAACCTAAGCCAGTCTACTAGTACATGTGCCTGTTAGAAAGTGTATTTGACAAAAGACAGGAGTGGACTGAAACTAGGGCCTACATTTTCAAGTTAAGAGCTTCCTTGTTTCGTTTATCATCATTATACTTATCATTTTGTTCACCAACAAGCGTGATCTACAAAAACACTTTAAGAGGGAGAAATACTTTAAGATCGATCTTAAAGTGCATCAGAGAACAGGAACATGAACACAGGCCAAGTATAACAGATTGTGGAAATTTACTGACCAGCTGTTTGACAGACCAACAATTTGAGCTTGTACAAGCTGTAAATGAGTCACGCGGCACAAGAAATTGCAACTCGTTTTAAAGAATTAGAGTTTGAGAAAGAATGTGGCAGATGTTGTACAATAGTTTGTGATCATTCCATTAATTGCATTTTGTTTTATGCCAAAAAATGATTTGCATTGATTGCAGTGTAAGAGGGGGAAGGGAACCCCATGTGTACTTGCATGAGCTTTAGGAGTGTTCCAATAAACCAATTGAAAATACTGCTGCGCAGTCGAGCCTCCCATAAGCGACCACCCAAGACGCAAACACTGAGTGGTCGCTTACGGGAGGTGGTCGTTTACAAGAATCGAACCATCCAGGAGGTCTCTTCCGAGAATTGGTCCAGGCACATCTACTTCACGGAAGACAATTTATTGCACGCAATGCCTAAGTTAGGATATGTGTAGTTCCATGTTGTCACTAAAGTTCTTCGTTCTAAGTAACATAGTGCACACAGGAAAAATAGAGATCAGAGAATGTGTCACAAGGTCGCTTACAAGAGGCTGAAAACAATGGAAAATCATAAACCGTGAGGCCCAAAAAGTGGTCGCGGTCGCTTACAGGAGGTGGTCGTTTATTAGCGGTTCCAACTGTAAGGCTTTGACTGGGAATATTTTGGTGTTTTGGATTGGCGGTCGCTTTTGGGAGGTGGTCGCTTACAACAGGTGGTCGGACATAGAGGTTCGACTGTATTAGATTAAGCTGTGATGAGCTCTCCAAAATTATACTTTTCACCAATTGTTTTTTTTTTTTCACTGATAGTGTGGTCTCACAGCTGTTTGGTGCCTCAAAGAATGCTAAATTCTAAACAAAGTAAACCAGTAGATAATTGCTAGGAAAATCTTCTTGCCCTGTCCCACATCTTTGACCTCAGAGCTTTCACGCCGCTGTAATCTCAGCCACAAATGAACCCGGGGGGCACTCCCTTATATAAGCCATAAAGGTTTGTGCCCCCCGAAGGGTACGGTTTTTGCGCCGTTTGGGTCTGAAAACAGGTATAAATCGAATTCGAAGTGGATTTTAAGAAATCTTTCTTGTTGGCGTTCTAATCTTAGTAATGATGACATAATTTCTGCCTGTGAAAGGTCTGTAGACTGTAGACGGAATTTGATGGTCGGCGAATTTCTGTTATCGTTCATCGTTCTGCTACTGATAAGCTAGCCGTTGAATCATTCACTCGTCTTGCTTGTTTTGGGCCGAGTCTTATTCCGGTCAAAGAGAGAGAAAGTGTCTGGCAAGGTTCAGCTGAAGGTTTCCAATCATAGATTTGTGAACTCGTGTCTGGCAAACTCACTTAGTGTTAAAATATAGACTGTTCTCCGCACCTTATAACTTCATCTGCCCTTAACGGTAGTGTGTTTTGGTCCATAACTTTCATAACAACTGCATGCTCCATAGAATGTCACTGATAACACATAACGCAAAAGAGTATCGAAGTATGACTGCAATGTCACAAAATCTACCTATTGTAAGCCGTTCCTTCGGGATTTTTTGTGTTTTACGTCATCCTAACCATTTCGTACTAAAATTACTTGCGGGCGCAAACAATAGAAACGTCATCATTACCGACCGATTCCTCGCGGCCCCTGTTCAAGCAAATGGAGATGTTTTTCTATATTGACTGTATGATTGTATATTTCAACTGTAAATACTTTCCTTAATATACGCGCGAGTCACTAGAGTGCCTCCTCGGGATTTCGCCTTCTGGGGGAAATCCCTGCCGGGGCAATAAGATTATTAACATAGAAAATAAATAATTATAAGTGTACAATGATGTATAGTCAGATATACCTCTCGAAGTTTTTCTTCCAAATCAGCACATGTAGCCCTACAATTCTGAATAAAAAAGTGACTGATGTTAACAAAAAAAGAAGGCCTACTAATTCTGGTTAAAAAAAAAACATTTTCCTCTAAAATCAAACACATTGCTGGAACCAATTAGAACACATCTCTTTATATTATTGCTATGACTTGTAGTTACACTCTACCCTCAACATATCAAATTTAAGAATAAAAAACTCAGAAATTCCTCTTAAATCAGGGGCACCCAACGACAATTTTCGGAAAAATATCTGTTCGGGAGACGATCTGAGATCTAGAATTTTCGGAACATTTGTTGTAAAATTTCTTGCTTGCCTGCCTCTCCTAGGATTTTCGAACATATAAAAAATTGTATAATTGCCTATTTTTAACGGATTTTTACCCTCAAAAGGTCACCTAGAATTTTCAGGAGCCTTTTTTCTGGCTGAAATTTTCGAAAAGGCGAGTTTTGATCCCTATAATTTTCGGATCACTAGACTTTCAGCTAGGAAATCCGAACAGATGAAAAATTTTTAGGGGATAAAAATATGCCTTTATCTACCGTTTAAATACTAAAATACGTTTAACAATGCTATGTTTAAGTAGTTTTCAACTATATTCTCGTTGGGTGCCCCTGTTAAATAAGTATGCTGATGACAAAGAAAAAAACTTATGTAGTTTATCCAGTGTATGATGTATGTTCCCTGTATGTGTATATATTTAAGAAAAGTCTAACCATAACATTGAGATACAGTGTGCCTTTAATATACACACTATAACATACCCAGTCTCTGGGAAGAGATTATGGAAGTAACAGTTGTGGTATGAGCGTGGCCTGATAACGGACGCATGCGCAAGAGGGGAAGGCAATTTTCTCGTGGGCCTTTTTCTAAGCACTTTCACAATTACTCTCTTGTATATAAAAGGCCAAGACTAGAGCAGTATCCAAGTCTTAGAACAACAGTCATTACAGCTGTGCATGTAAGCAAAGAAGGAACTGTGGGCTCAATTAGTACTAGCATTATGAAGCATGTAATTTTGCAGCAGACTTACCATCAACTCCATTCGCAAATTGCTGTTCCGTACCTCAAGATTTTTATAGAGTAATTCCTTTGTTTGTAGCTTCTAATAAATTTTCAAAAAATATAAGCAAATTAATTACATTTTACAGCTGTGTGTGACTGTACTGTAAGTTTTTAAGTTTTTTGTATCTCTGACATCCTGCTATAATGGCTTAATTGTCAAAAATCAATGATCATGTACAGTGTACAAAATATTATGCCATAGGTAAGACTCCTTCTCAGGTTGAACCAGAATTGTCTTGCTCCTATGAATAACTTAGTAGGCCAGCTAGGGAAATAAACAAAACTAGGTAGGTTAAATACTCATGGTTAAACATGCAGATTGTAGTGTACAATTTAAACAGAAAAGCCACCATACAAAGAACCTGTAATAAAGGCATCCCATTTGATCCCACACCTCTCACAGACACCCTCCCTCCACAAACTTGAAAAGATAATGGCGAAAAGTGGAAGTTCTAGCTCACTCATATATTTTATGAGTTACATGTATGGTGGAGGTCCAACACAAAACTGAGCCAGGTTGTCTTACATGAAACAAGTGGACTGACCTGTGTCAAGTAATTAACACTTGATTGAAGCTCCTCAATTTTCTAAAGAAGAAAAAGTCAGACAATGAAAAATCTGATGGATAGCCCCAATGTACCTAACAGCTGTACATGTACACCACCAAACAACACCATTATATAAGACAAGACTTACAAATTTTTTGTATTTAAAGAATTAAAATTTATTTACCTTTTGGAATTCTTCTAGGAGACCACCGTTTTCAGAAGTATCATTATTCTCAGTTTCCCTGCGTTGTAATACATGAACTTCTGATCCATGGCTTGAAATTTCAGAGCTGATTATTGACGATGCTGAACATGAATCATAATGTTCTTCAGTTCTGGAAATTTCATTCTGCAGCTGCTGGCCTGTGTCACTGATGCTTTCAGCTGATAATGACAAAAACTGGTTATCAACCATTCTATTTGAGGCACAAGTAGAGGGCTGCCTTGTGACTCTACTGGAGCTTTTGCCACTCGAAGGCGCACTGGTTTGTGATGCTGATGGCATACTGGATTTTGACACTAGTGACGTTGCACTTCTCCGTGACACAACGGGAGTACTGGTTTGAGACCCTGGTAAGCATCCAAACTGGCTTGGCACAATGGAGGTGGACTGGTTTGTGACACAGGTCATGCGTTGCTGTTCTGGGACGACAATGCTGTTTGGTGATGCCACTATTTCTTCTGCTGCTGTTGTTGTTTCTGCATACGATGATGATGATAACAATGATGATGCATTATCACCTGACAATACAACACTGTTGTCTCTGGATGAAACAGAGAAAACCCCACTATCATCTATGCCAGCTGCTGTAATTCCAGTGGAGCTTTCATTGGGAAGGTTAGTTAGGTCGTCAGACTGTTTATCCTCTGAAAAAGGGGCAGGCAAACTCCACGGTGGCCACACTTTAGATGAAGGCATTTTTGCATCAGATGGAGACAAGAGTCTTTCTGTCACCTTTCTAGCTGCCGCTGCAGTGTCCACTGAGCCATTATCTAGTTCACTGACTGCAAGTTGGTCAGAAAATGTTGCTGACATTGCCAGTAACTGCCCACTGACTTCCTTGGGAGGAACCAAACCTGGGGAAGCATAAGAAATTAGGTAAGTGAATTACCTTATTCTCACTTAATACTCGCCAAATAAAAAAATCGCTAAAAATTCCTAAAAATTCTCTTAAAATCACAAAATTTACTCGTGAAATATGTTACGATTTTTCCGAAATTTATTCCTCCTGGAATTAAGTGAGAATAAGACAGTATAGTAATGAATTTAAGTTAAAAATTGAGAGCCAGTACACATGAAGATACAATGCTTTCCTTTTCTTTTGCATGGCAGTCTTGCATATGATCTACAGAATGCATCATTCTATAATGGGAGGTAAAGTTTGATTCATCTGGTTCTCCAAAAATCTCCTGCCTTGGAACAGGGTTGTGGTTGTTCAAAACTGGATTTAAATAACCTAGGGTTAGTAAAAAATTTGAATTTAGATATGAAAGCTTAAAAAGCAAATTTTCAGTTTATTTATTTATTTATTTATTATTGTGTCTTGGTAAAAACAAAAGAAGAAATTATATAAAAAAGTACGCGTAATTTTATGCTTTACACAAAAGAATAATTAAAATTTAAGCTGGGGTTACTGCTAATCAACCTTTGAACAATGAGCCCAGGGTTATATTACACAATGTACTTCTGGCACTGTCCAGTAAAAAGTAATCATAAAGTAATATTACAAATATAGCACCAAAAAATCAATCATTGAAAAGTCCTACAACAGATCTTATGTGTCAGTAATTTATACAGTGTACATGTACTCAGTGCTAAGTTATGGTGAAATATTACTCACACAATGCACCTTCACTAACAGTACTCACCATCCCCAAAAGTTGTCCCTGATTCATCATTTTTTTGATCACCAACAGTACGGGGGTTAGCCACAGGAATAGGTCCTAGACCTACAGGTACATTTGTGCATGGCAGCCACAAATTAAAATAGATAATTTCTTATCAGTCATCACTACATAAATAATTATTGCTGATGCAGTCTTAGTACAGCTGTAAGAACGTAAAGGTGTAGATATTTAATGTAAAATACTGTTATGTAAAATCTGATGATGAATTCAAATTACCCTTTCAAGTTCTTCATGCATGCGCAGGAGGTCAACTGTAACAATTGATTTAAATAAGTCTTGCATTTTTTCCAGTTATTGTCACATTTGAAACAAGCAGTATGTCATACACGTAGGCAGGGCTGAGGTAAGAAGCATACATGTGGGTTGCTGTTGTGTCAAAATTGCGGTAATGAGACTGTTTTGGGAGACGAATTTGAATTTGTAAAGGGTTCAGATTTCGACATTCAAAGGTAACCTGTCTCCTCTTGATTGTTAACCTTGGGCCGGTTACCCCTCTTCCCAAGAGTTTGTTATCTAGAGCTTCTATTTACACATTACTTCTCTGTTGGACATGCTGGATTTTACAGGCTAATTATAAGACAAGCTTCTGGGCTCTCCTCAGTTGCTCTCAGAGCACAGCACCAGGCATTAAATTTATTAAGACATTTACCAGACGGTAATGTATGCTCTGTTCGATCTCTAAAGCCTTATTTATGAACGAAAGCATGCTAATTTTAAGATACAAACAAAGCTGTTCGTGGTTGGAACCTGACTAATTTGTCGTATGTTTGTCATCATATTTTCTTAGCATCGCGCAGATTGGTCCCTGTTTTCAAGGCCCTATTCATGGCTAGACTTTAATCATGATAAGACTAGGTAGCTTATGGTACAACTGTATTCATTGGTCGAGTTTTAAGACGCTGTCTAGCTATAAAGTTCTGCTATTTCAGACCTGGTCATTATTCGTCTAGCTTGCACGAAAGCAAACAGTTACAGTAATTTTGTTACCCACCCTCCCACCCTATGGAGCAGTTTTGTTGTGTTAGGTATCACTAAAGTTTGGGGGGTCACTCCTTGTGGTGTGGTTAAGTCTGCGTTGCGACTCCCCCCAAGCTTTTGGCATTGCTTCCCGTACGAAACTTGCAGCGCTGTACAGCGCTACAAAATCACTTCAAAATAGCTGTACAGCTAAATTACAGCTGTTTAGCAGCATTTTAGAAGCCAAATAGCAGCTTAATTCAAGTTGCAGCGGGATGCAAAAGCGCTGTGCAGCCTTTGAAGCTCTCGGCAGCAGTTTCGCAGCGCAGTTGCCGAATTTAAAATGCTGCGAAGTAGCTGCAGTAACGCTGCAATTCAGCTTCAGTCGTTCTGAAAGCGCAACGTTCTTGAGCGTCAGTAACATGAATCACCAGAAAAGCCTTGCCACAGATTATGGTTTTTATAACGAGAAAACTTTGACTGCACCTCTAAGAAAAGTGAGTAAGCTTGTCGGCAGGGAAGATTACTTAATATTGAATAAACCTCCAAATTCTATGCTTTCGGAAAAAAGATTTCAATAAATTTCATTCCGCAACTTGCGAGTGTGGGAATGTTATCGCTAATTCCCTGGAGACATTCTAGGTCGTAATCTAATTGGTCGGTACTTTTGCATAAGATCCCATTACATGTACACCTCAGAGAAAAACATTTGTGACCATTGAATGAAAGGCGCAAACATTAATAAAGTTTATTGCATCTAGTTCTGTTTCGAGATGGAAGTTCTGTTGATGTTTTTGGATGGAACAGCTCAAAGGTATTTGTAAACAACGCACTGTACAGTGACTTCTACGCTGAGTACCGACGAATCAAACCAGAGTAAGCAGAACAGATACAAGAATCTCAGCTGGAGTTCCCATGAACTTACACTTAAAAACATTCAAGACAATGTACGTTCCTTAGTCCATTGTAAAATTTAACGACGACCAAAGTAAAATTGGGTTGATTTCTTTAGTGAAAAGAGTGTAGCAGATCGTGGATCATGGACAAAACGTCAAGGTGAGCAATGTCAAGCTTAACCCGTTGCAATGAATCAAAATAATAACTTGGCTGCTGTCCGTGTAAACTTTGTGTAGAACAATCACTGTTATTCTCTTTATTTTTAAAAAAGATCAATTTTTATGTCTGCATGTTAATGGATGTTCTTACATTTAGATGAGTGACCATGATTCCTGAATATTTACAAAGCGAGAATGTTGCAGATTTGTTATGTCATGTGAATTTGTAACGTGTACGCCTGGATACTAATAAAGTATCAGTTGCATTTTGACTTTCTAGTGGTTTTTTCTCTGCTAGTAAGGCCTTGTCAACTCCTCTACCATGTATCATGATTATTGTATTATTGAAGTCTGCATTTCTTTTTTTTGTACTAACGAGTGGTAGGCCATTACGGGTAACAACGTTCTTTGTCTTTTCAAAGCCACTTTGCAGCGCAGATCGTGATTCCGGAATCTTCTGCACTGCTGCAAAAGCGCTGTTTATCGCTGTCAAAGGGCTTTCCACTGCAGCGCGAAACAGCCAAAATTTGCTACTGCCGCAGCCAGCCTTTTTACAGCTCTTTTGTAGCGCTTCTTGAAGTCATTCTGCAGCGCTGCAGCAGTGCTGCACGTTTCGTATGGGTTGTGTCTTGCCATCTTATTCATTTCCCTTAATCTTGTCCGATCCAGCCCGTGCGGCGCTAAGGAGATAAGAAAGGCTCTGCCAATACACTTGTCCTACCTCACGGTGGTGAGGGGATAAGTGAGGCTTGTGTTTTTGCTGTGCGCATAACCTGAGGTCGCTAGAACCTGCCACAGGGCTGTGTCCCCCCCCTTATTACGCCATCTTGTAGTAATTGTCTTATTTGCCTGCGTGCGCTTTTTAGTTTTGTTACCTTTTCATGCATATCTTAAGCGGAATAGTGACATTAATTAATATTACTAAGCCTTTGCAGAACTATTCTATCCCAACCCAGTCAACATGATAACACAAAATAAAGAACCTTTACATTACAATCAGACAGACTGGAAGAATGTTAAGTCACTATAAATACTAAGCTGAAAATAAATAATTTTAAAAAAATACAGAATATGCAACAGGATTTCATGCAGCTTTCCGATTAGATTTATTTTTATGCTGCGATAAAAAGCTATATGAGGCTTCTCTACACTGTTTTTACCTGGAGAATGACGTTGTTCATTGAAAGATTCAATGACACCAAGGAAGTCTTCTAAACAACCAGTTTCTTCAAAGATAATTTTCCAGTTTGGTAGAGAAAGCTGTCCATGCCTCTCTTCAAAATTATACACCACTTCATGTACTGACTTGAAATGCTTGGAAGCTTCTTCTTTCAAACCAAGTGCCTTCAGCAGACCATCTAGTACCTCTTTTGTCTCTAAGACTTCCAACAACTTTTCTTTCAGTAGAATGGATGGATAGCTCTTAGTATTTGGTGAAAGACCTTTGTGAAGCAACAAATTGAATGAAGATATAAGAATAACACAATAATAGACCTTGTTATTGTTGTTGTACATGTATTAAGGAAATTAAAAAGACAAAAAAATGACTTACATATTTTTTACCTTACCGTATAAATAATTATCCATGGCTTAAGCAATTCCAGCAGCACATTACAACTATGAAACAGAGAAAAAAAAACAGTCCCTCAAAGTGAAAATCAACCCTGATATGTCATTACTTTGTAATCTGCTAGCGAAAGTCAACCTTTACTAATCTTGTCAGTTTGAAAATCAGCTGTGTAAGTGCTTGAAATCCAGCTTCCACATTAACATGCTTTTTAGCTCATGCAGAGTTCACTCTCCTGGCAATGGCAAATTCACAGTATATTATGTTACACATGTACATGTTTTACGGGGCTTTTGTAGGAAAAGTTCTAATTAAGAATAGTCCAGTTTTAAACCTTACTAATAAATAAGTCATGTTCAAATAGGAAGTCAGTTAACTTGGGTGAGAAAGCAATAATTAGCGCTATTATTCATTCAAAATACATTGTATCTTGCTGTTTCTGATTAGAAATCCCGGCTGGCTAACTCTTCTTAACCTACTGGCACTTACCATAAATATTTATTTGGAAGACATGCTGTAGGCAATAACTCGACATCAATTTGTTGCATTACTGCTAATTGCCTTATTACCCATTCATCAACCTTGTTTCCAGGCAGTGGCACGGCAGACTAGGTGTTTATGCCTGAGCGAACGAAAAGAAAAAAATGATGTTCACACCTTTCCAACAATGAAATAGATGACTTTCTGACTGAAAATGAACAAAGTAAATGCAACAATTAATACACCAAAAATATTGCTAGATGGATGTCATCTATTCTAAGGAGTATCTGCAACAAAGAAACCAATATCCTCAAACTTCATTGAGAAACAAGCAAATGTCTGAGGAAAGTCTGTGAGGCGGCAACTGTAACATTATTTATATTATTAAGGATGATATGAAGATTTTGTTTAAAGCATGTATATGATTGCAGAGGCTTCACGTAAACCTTTGTTTGCAAATTTGAAAATTCTTGATGTTTTTAGTATCTACTCACTCCAAGTAAGTTCTTTCATGTACCTATATCATCATGACGCTTTACCTACTGCTTACTCAAATCTTTCAAACTGGAAATCAGATTTATCAATATTCAACAAGATACTCTGACTTTTACCAACCTCATACCTGTACTACAGACAAATATTAAAAAATTTTTGGTCCTGTTTCAAGGTCCTAGAATAAGGAATTCATTACCGAACAACATCAGAAACGCCCCAACTTTTAATATATCCAAGCGTGTGATCAAACCATTTTTGAGGGTCAGACAACCTAAATACCTTAACACCTTATATCTATATTTTTCTCTAAACACACTTATATGTCCTTTTTCTTTTCCCCAGCACAGTCACTCCCTCCAAGTAGTATGCTCATTTTAAATTTAGTATTAATTAACCTATTTATTAGCTTTTTTACTCTACTTGTAATTTATTCTGTGTGGCAAAATAACAAAATAAAATAAATCAATGCCATTATAAATCAAGTTAAGAGTTAAGTGAAGTAATTGCTATGGAAAATGTGGCATCCGGGCTATACATTGCTATTTTCTCTATGGGAAATAATATTTCAGTTACAATCAGTTAGGCATATTTAATTATATCAAACACAACATAAGCTTATACCAACTGAAGCTATAGGGGCTACAGTGCTATTACAAAGGGTACTAAAATGAGCACTGTGTTTTAAACTTTAAAAAAATGTGCTAGCGAAGCAATTTTGCTACTTGTTTATAAACTCGGTAATGCAGAAGTGTGAAACCTCTCAAACCCTGAAGCACCTTTATTGCTTCCGATCAGAGGGCTTCTGATGTTACTGTATAGTTTATATTAATGTTCTGCCAATGATTTGTGTCTTTTTTCACAAGTCCAAGCTACACCGAACAACAAAACTCAATATTCAGGTGCCGTGAATAATTTGCGAGGCATACAACGACTGTGTCACCCATGCTGTAAAAATTCACGCGCACAAATTCTACGTCGAGAAAGTCAATACCACCAAAAGAAAAGAAGGCGTGTGAGCTTTTACTCTAAAGTATTTAAAAGCAGATAAATGTGGTAGAACAATCGAGTTTTAGTGATAATTGCAATTATGATCATTGCTTCTAAATCGACGACGATATCGTACGCAAATATTACACGGAAACCGGTCGTTTCGCCTACAAGTCGTTTCACCTACACTCTGGTTGATTCGCCTACACGATCAAAGTCGTTTCGCCTACAATGAATTACTTATAACATAACAGTGTATAAATAGCAGTAAAGCTTAAACGTAATAATCGTACCAGTGTCATTTCATGTCTTTTTTTGATGCACTGTGAAACGGCACATTTTTGTCCGGTTTTCCTTTCATCAAGTCGGAATTCACTGGATCCCAGTCCTTTGCGATGGATCCTTGTTCTAGTCCACGCGCGGTTCGGTAAATTAACGTTCAGTTTAGGGACTAGGGGTAAGCGCCATTACTACCCCCTTTATTTTTCGCTGGCTATCAATCGACTTTAATTTCCGGTGGGGAGACTATGTTCTCATCGCCAATGTTCTAACGTGAGCGGGGTTGAAAGTGTTTAATAGACAAAGGAAGGTTTCCCTCTCAGGAAACACGCGCTCGTGCTATTGTAATGCGTTTCTAAAAGGCAAATAATTAGCATCAGTTAATCCAATTGAATGAATAAAGGAAATCAACAAATCACGGTTAAGATGAATTAATGTGATCCTCTTGAATTAATGAAATCAGTGTCCTCGAGTATAAAAGCTTGAACATTCATAAAGCACGCCACCCGATCATCGATCACACTAGAAACATATTCCTCTATATTCACGAACGACTCACGAACTGTTCACGAATGGCGGACAAGTGTATCGCATGTAACAAAATCGTCTCTACAAGGCAACAAGCCATCCAATGCGATGGTTGTTTGAAATGGAACCACAGAACCTGTAACACTGGTAAGTGTAATCTTCTGCAGTTTTTCGTGAATTCTCTGGTAAGTGTGATCTTCTGCAGTTTTTCGTGAATTCTCTACATTGTTCCTTACCTCACTCTTTTATCATTTCGCAGGCATTTCTCAACAAGAGTATAGAGAAGCTGTCAACGCCGGCACGGGAATACAGTGGTTGTGTGAGCCCTGTCAGGTGCCAGTTGCGGAGAGTTCTAGAATCTCATCAGAGTCGTCAGCCGCCATTTTAGACTCTTCTGAGTTTAACCCAACTCGTGTTGATTCTTACAATGTAAGTCTGTTAATTTCCTTTCTTTCTTTCAGATTTCCTGTTCACTTATTTAATCAACAGGATTTTGAACTGCATTGAAAACCTTTGCCGATTTGTTGTCACTTTCTTAGTTTAATTGCGCTCTTTTTGTGTTTAAGGACTGTTCCACCGATGATGAAGCATCGCTTCCCAACCCTCAAACCCAAAGCGAGACCCAAGACGACCCAAGTGAAAGAATGGTAAGTCTACTAACGAGTGTCAAGTTAGTGAAGCGTCCGTTTCAGCAACTTTTTACGATTAACGCCTTCATGCGAACAGATGATCACGCAAAGCAAGTACCACTCGTCTTCGTCTTGATGTCTGGAAGAAAGAAAAAAGACTATCGCAAGGTAACATGTCAATTAACTGTGTGTAATTTAGCATCTTGTTGTTATCACTCGAAGCAGTGGGTTTATAAAATATTTCATCCCCGCCAATAACCTGCAGCAATACCAAACTAAAACAAAAAAGAATTAAAAATTATTTATCTCTAAGAATTCATTTTTCATTAATTTTTTAGGTCATAAAGTCTATCCTTGACTTACTTCCTGTCGAACCTGACGTCCGTCAAATAACAGTGGATTTTGAAAAAGCACTGTGGAGTGTCCTTCGACAAGTCCTCCCTGGTGTAAAGATCAAGGGATGCGTATTCCATTGGACACAGGCCCTCTGGAGGAAGGTAGGTCTAACATGTCATTTGATTATCAGTACACGAATTTTGAGCTGATTAAATTCCATGACTTTCCGTATGCTAATTTTCGAAAATTTTTTGAGCTATTCGCGCTTTTGAGACTACCAACAATCGACAAAGAAACATGAGTATTTAAGTGTCTCTAAGAATTCTCAAGTCTTTACTAGTAAGCTTAAAGATGAAGTTTATGTTTTAAGCCCCCGGTTTTTATTAAATTTTTCATTTATTTTCTACAGATTCAAGAGCTTGGGCTTCAGCAGCCCTACTGCAATGACCAGGGCACCTACATTTATCTTCGAAAGTTCATGGCGTTGCCATTTTTGCCCGAACAAGAAATCCCGCCGATGTTCCAACATCTAAGACAGCAGGCCACCACAGCCCCACTACAGCAGTTTGTGGCGTACGTTTCAGAAATTTGGATCACCAACAGCACTTGGCCCCCTTCAAGTTGGAGCGTGTACATGATGGCCACCAGGAGTAATAATGATGTTGAAGGTTGGCACCACGGGCTGCATCGTCGCGCCGCAGGTAGACAGAACCTAAATTTATACCTACTAATCGATCTACTTCATCAAGAGGCCCGATTAACCGCTCTAAGAATCCGCCTAGTTTCCGAGAAAAAATTAACAAGAATTCAGCGGAAAAAGTACAGGTCCATGCAGACCAGAATCTTCGAGTTATGGGAAGATTATCAACAGAATCGAAGAAGCGTGGAGCAGCTGTTACGGCAATGTGCCCACTTAAATGGACCGAAACGCTCTAATTAATTATATTTGTGAACTCCTAGGTTAGATTAGAAGTAATCTCATATTAGTAGGTTGAGTGACGAGAATTTCAAAATATAATTTAACGTTACGTCCGTCTCTGAGTGTAATAGGTTCCTAGATTAGAAGACATCTCATATTGGTAGGTTAAGTAACGAGAATTTCAAAATATAATTTAAGGGGCGGGTATCACTTGGATACCCATATGTCCCCGAGTGTAATAGGTTCCTAGATTAGAAGACATCTCATATTAGTAGGTTAAGTAACGAGAATTTCAAAATATAATTTAAGGGGCGGGTATCACTTGGATACCCACATGTCCCCGAGTGTAATAGGTTACTAGATTGTATCACTTGGATACCCACATGTCCCCGAGTGTAATAGGTTACTAGATTGTAAATAATAAAAATGGTAGACATGACGATATTGCTGTGTTATCATTTGAGTTTTTACTTTTTGTCTTAGCCTGCGCCTACTGTAGTCTTAGTCTTAGTCTGTACTGTAGTCTTAATGTTCGACGTCATAATCACATGAATTGTTGTAGCACGTGCTAACAAGATGGCGGCATTTTGACACTTTTACCGCGTGAGTTGTGTTTGTTGTGGAACTCCTTTTTTACTTGAAAAGATAGATCGTGAAGGCGGATCGATCTGAGTGTGAAGAAAGATCGGTTGTTGACAGGCCTGAACTCGGCAAAAGGTAAGATTTAACTTGTTTTAGTTCAATACTTGTCGATCTTCAATCGCAACTGTGTAGGCGAAACGACTTTGATCGTGTAGGCGGATCGATCTGGGTGTGAAGAAAGATCGGTTGTTGACAGGCCTGTACTCGGCAAAAGGTAAAATTTAACTTGTTTTAGTTCAATACTAGTCGATCTTCAATCGCAACTGTGTAGGCGAAACGACTTTGATCGTGTAGGCGGATCGATCTGAGTGTGAAGAAAGATCGGTTGTTGACACGCCTCAACTCGGCAAAAGGTAAAATTAAACTTGTTTTAGTTTAATACTTATCGATCTTCAATCGCAACTGTGTAGGCGAAACGACTTTGATCGTGTAGGCGAATCGACCTAAGTGTAGGCGAAACGACTTGTAGGCGAAACGACTTGTAGGCGAAACGACCGACATTCTATTACACATGTATCACAATGCGACAAACTTAATTAAACTCCTTTCTTGCTGGCAGAGGCCCCGTTTCCCGTTACAATATTACAACGGAAAATTAAAGTTGACTGCAAACGTTGCAAATGTCACAGTTGAGCTATTAAAAACATTATTTGCAGCGGATCTAAGCTTAGCGAAAACGCTAAGGTTAAGCTAGCTTACAAGTAACGAACCTTAAGTTATAGAGGAATCTCAATATTAAGCTTATTTTACCTCTTATGTTCGAAATCACTCGAACAACAACTAACAAGACGGGAGAAAGAGCCTGTAAAAAGATCAAGGAACCGTTAAAAATACCAAGAGGCCGCTTTTTTGGTCATAGTAAATGTACCTGTCCTAATTTTTATGTAGACCAATGATCATCGTGTCCAAATGAAACTCCGATTGCAAGCCGACAGCTGAGCGGAGATTGATCGAGATTAGGCGGGAATGCGCGGGAAAAGCCGGCGCGAATTCAGCGGTACCAGTGATTCCCGTAGCTACGTCAGATATGGTAAACAAAATGTACAAGGAGGCGAAAGGGGTTTGAATTCTTCCTTTGTTCGTGGTCCTCGTGAGCTCTTGGTTTTATTTTATTTTATATAATCAGCGGGCGATCGTTCTTCCCTTTTGTTTGGGAGACAAGGGGAAAACGGCGCCCGATTTTTTTCCTTTTATCCCGGAAAATGACCTTCTGATGTCCTCCCCCGGCGAGAACGATGTAGTAAAACGATCGATAGTCCAGCACACGTTGTTGTCGGTTAAGGGGGCGAGGGGGGCTGCAGCCCCCCCAAATTTTAGGCAACTCAGATTTTTTGGGCAGCGAGAGAAAATTTGGGCAAAGTCAGCTTTTAAAGACGTCTCCATGTTTATTTAATTTAATTATTTTGAAGACCTGAATATTAACCTAAAGTCGGCGTAATAATCCAGTTACATTACAGTGGTTGCCTAGCATGTGATGAGTAATTTACATATTTGCAGTTTTTTTATTGGTGGGCACTATACTGCACTGCACTAGCTGGAATTGGCTATTTCCAGTCGTGAATTGCTTAAAATAAACTTTCGCATAACTTTCTAGAATCATCTCCACTCGAAGAACAGTGTATGGCAGATAGCATCAGCAAAGGGTATGAAAATGAAGAAGTGGCTGACTACTGAATTCTCAGTTTGAATTAGTATAGCGAGAAGAATCCTAATTCTTTTAAAAACTCCATCGTCGAGGTTCCATGAAATTAATCGCTAATTTGTTAAAGTAGACCGGAATGTTTACAAAACTGCTGACAAGAGTGCCTCGATGACTAATCAAATCCTTCTTTCGATTCTAGCAATCAAGCAGAGCTATCTCCACGATCTTTCACACATGTTTTCAAAAAAGATTAAAACTACTATGAGGTGAAAATGCATGTCAAAAGCGCTTCGTTTTGCAGAGATAACGGCCAAACATCAAGATTTTCCTTTTCCTACCGTATTTCTAATAATAAA